AGAAGTGAAAGAAACTACCAGAGAGGTCCCACTTAAAGCAGCACTTGATATGAAGGGACGTTAGTGAAGCTTCGTATACCTGAAGGAATGAGAACAAGCGAGGAATGAAGCGGTTAGAGGCTAAATGCTTAGTTCAAGTGAAGGAAATGGAATCAGTGGATTCAAAAGAGGTCTAGTTTAGAAGTTGATGCATTCGAATGGTACGCTTTACAGCCGTACTACAACCCGTATTGAATTTGTAAAGAAGCGGTCGCCAGGGTCCTTTTCTCCACTGGGTGTACTCTTAGCAGAATCTGCCACCATTTGTTGATATGCGCTATATTACTTTTTCGCAGCCAAATTCTTCATCTGGTTCTGTTTCCAGTGCGCAATGGAAAACCGTTTATCTAAAAATGTACAATAACCTTGAAATGAAAGCAAAGTAAACCGCATTCAGTTCAAGACAATAGATGGTAACCTTCTGTGCGATCATCTGTCTTGTTGAGTTCGACAGCAAATTCCGTGCGCTCTCATCCGATATGGGGAACATTGTTAGCACGTCAATCGGTCTGAAAATTAGACTGAATGGAGCAACGGTTCAGACGTCATATTACAGAAGGATCTCAAAAATCATCTCTCTGGGGAATCGTCGAAGAAAACCTCTACACAAGAGCATGACCACGGTGGTGGCGGGAGCAGTGCTCTTTAAAGGTTGCCAGAACTATTTAGAGAGGTTTCCCGAGAGACTTTTCCTTTTAGTTTTCCTATTGCATAAGAAACAAAACTAAACTATACAAAATGCCACTTACGGCTGAAACAAGTACTGCGGTTGAAAGTTCACGACTGTTGGGGTGAAGGTCAAGTGATAATCTGCCATTATGCTCACGACGTTGTCAATCTCCTTCAATTCCTGCGTGCTGTACAACTGTTGGTTCATCTGCAAAAGTAAACAGGTTGCTCATTCAGTTACACCTTGCCACATCATTCTAGAACTCCTTCAGTGTAACACTGAGCCAAAACTGATACCATTCAATGAGTACACAAACTGTACACTCAACTCCGAGGACGTAGCTTGCCTTGAGCGAGATCAATGGGTTCACAGTTCCTATCATTTTGTCGTTCAAATGTGCACGGAAACGTGCTGGAGGGTAATGATACGTGGTTTGTGTTGTTTCCAGACTCCGCCTGCAGTATCCTGAAGGTGCATCGATTACCAAAATCCCGCCAGCGAAACACGTGTTAACCAGAGGACAACCAGACATGAGGAGGCACAGACAAGTAGTGCGTTTAGCTATGGTAAGAGTCATAGCCAAGGTAATTGAGCATGTGGAAGCCGGGCCGACTCAAGAGACGGCACCTGGTTATCACCATCCTCCAGCCTCGTTTTCCTGCACTTTTGACAAGGGAAAGTGGCACGCTATTAAAGCTGCGGAACGCATCAATATGAGCGATTTCGACTGAAGCCATCATGACCTCCATGCCTACGTAGCCCAACGGAGTAGAAATCATTCAGTCTCCGTGAGAAATTTCAAGACCACATAGTTCAACCAATTCTTAACAAGCAAGCACAATACAACTTGTTGTAGTGTGCTCAATGGATACTGTATTTGAGTGTCGCTGTATTTTCTAGCATTCTGAACCTGAGACCTTACAGTTTCATCAAAATGAAAATTATTACCGTCTTGATAGGCGGCTGCACAATTTGCAGCAGCAGAGGCAGTACATCATAGAGTAGAGCGTTTGGAGCATATCTGCCCAAGAGGGAGCACTGAACACTAGAGAGGGTTTCCTGCGACTCTCGTCGCCTCTGAAGCGCAGTTTGTTCCTGCTGGGGATACTTCAGTTTAGCCCTGAAAGAGAGGAGTCAGACGTATCCCAATTCTCCAGAAAAGAATGAAAAATTTCGGACATAAAACTAGAGCTGTTTCACAGACTTAGTATGGGTGGCCACAGCTGCATGGAGAAGCATGTAGAACACGGTGACGTACTTCATCAGAGTGTAATCTTGTTTCTCGTTGATCTGAATCAGTTTAAAATGCTTTAAGAATATTTAGACGGAGAATTAAATTGTCAGGGCAGTGAAGCGGCGCTATTTTAGGCAGTGATTCAGCCCGCAACTTTCTGCGCTTCAGCGCAGACTACGCTTATCCATTGCCCACCCAAAACCTCAGAGCTCCTCTCAGGCTGTATTATACTTAACTAAGGGACTACCCCAGATGACTGGATGACGAGGCGAGACATGGCCGCGCTAGTCGTCTTCGCTCTGTTATGGTTGACAAGGCGAGAACGTAGGTCATTATCAGGGCTGGCCTCACACCTATAACGCGATGAGCCTGCTTACTGCGATACACCCACACGTATGCGCCTGAAAAGAACGGCTAAATGATCGAATCCGACGTTCTCCCCATAAAAGATTAGAGGATAAAGTCTTCCCCGTTAACCAAACTTTTTTAGGGATGTGACACGTGTCCTATTTCATTCAGAATCTCAATGGCTTATTGAATGCGATGTGGTCTAAACAATGAATACCGGGTGCCCTCCGATGTACAGGTCAGGGTTCTCATCCTCCCAGATGAATCTCGTACCGATCAACCGTCCTCGTAGGGTAGAAGGCGAATATGGTACCGATTCACCGTCCCCGGAGGGTAGAAGGCCTGGTTGGCCTGGGCGGAAGCCAATCAGGGATTTCACCACCGGACGACGCGCGTGGTAAGCGGGCCACCGCCACTACACCACCTCCGGCCGTTCTCCCCATATCAAGCATTATCGTAACGAAAACGGTATCATGGACTGCGTCAGAAAACAGCAGGAAACACGTTGAAATCCCTAATTCCGATAAAACAACGATTAACAACGTAAACCTACCGCAAGCATAATGCGATCGTAATGGACGAAAGCTTCGGCACCAGATCTAATAGCCTTCAAGGGTAGATTTACGCTGAGGTAGTTAGCGTGTAGACCATTCACAAAGCGGTCATCGCCTCGCTCAAATGCAACGCGCTCAACCAGCTGCAGCCTTTCCGACAACGAGCGTAAGACGCCTTTCCTGAAACACTCATGTCATGTTGTCAACAGCACTCTCAAAGTATCTCCTGCACCACTCGCTGTGACTTCCGAAGATTTTCAAGATGAAACTTTCACAAATTTCACTGAACAACGACATAAATGCAAAACACTTACTTGTCAAAATGATGACCGAAATCCAGCATCGTAGACCAATTTTCAAAAATTGACGCAGATCCCACTCTTTCACGTTCCACAGCCTGAAATTAGCTGGTCAACAACTTG